GCCTGCTCTGGCGCCACGGCCCCGCCTCGCGAACGCCCGGCGCGCGCCCCGGGTGGGGCCCACGCTGCATCCCTATTAGCTGCCCTCTGACCAATCGGCGCCGGCGGCGGCAGGAATTGGAGGGCGTGATGCAGACGGCCAGCCCCTGCAGCCAATCGCCGGCGGGCGAAGGCGGGGCTGCTGGGAGTTGCTCTGTTTCCCTCAAGCGTTCCCGCAGGGCGCGAGAGCCTGGGAGGCAGGGCCTCAAGGGAGGCGAGGATTGGAGCTTTAGCAGAAAACGGGCAGCCCTATTAACCAATGGCTGGGGAAAGGGGCAGGGCTGCCGCGGTTTAGGAGCGAGGAATGAAGGGCGTAGCCCCGAGGCCAACAGTGATTGGTCGCGAAGCCAAAGACGGGCAGGCCCCTTGGCGAATCGCAGCAGTCGTAGGCGGTGCGCCCCGGCAGGGCCGCAGCGTGCAAGGTGCATTTTGGCAAGAAGCGCTGCCGCCCGAGGTGGCCCGGGCTCCCCTCTCACCACCCACGCCGACGCGGGCCTCCTTCTGCTGCCAGGAACTGGGGCCGTCACAGCGGAAGGATTCGGCTAGTCTCCCGGCCCGGCCCTTCCTACTCTTCCCCTGCCAAGGCCACCCGGGCAGAAGCCCGCTCGTGCAGGGCTCTCGGCTCCGTGGCGCGCAGACGTGGGGCCAGAACGCGGGTCCCACTAGAGCGCGCTGTGTGACTTTCTGAACGTGCCTCACTTCGCTGAGCCCGCGCCTTCTCTTTCGCGGAAGCCAGGGACGTCGCTACTGGACCTCCTCCCTGCCAGGCCTTTGGTGCACTCCGAGGCCTGAGCGCAAGCCCACGGTCAGGGTGGCCACTCACACCTTACAGAAACCGGAACAGAGAGGTCGAGTGCTTGGCACAAGGTCGCACAGCATTCCGGCTGCCAGCGTGGGAACGACTCTGAGGCAGGATTACAGACGCAGGCAGCCCGGCGGGCGCCGAGGGACCCGCGTTGGAGCCTCCCTCCAGTCATGCGGCTGCCGTGCACTCCGGGCGAGTGCTTGTGAGCCTCAGCCTCCTCCCTGGGAAGCAGGACAGTGGGCCGAGGGAAGCCCTCCGGCCCGACTCACCGGGGCTCATTTCCTCCAGGGGCGGCCGCTAGCGCCCGACTCCAGCTCCCTGCCTCAGCTTCCCAGTATCTCCCTGGGCGGAATTAATGGAACAGAAGAGATGGTTTACATGGCTTTGCTCCATAGGAAGCACCGATAAACGCTGGGCTGTGACCCGACCTGTCCTCAGGGACACAGGCCAGCTATGGGGGGAGGCTGCCAACCAAAGAGGGAGGTGTCTGCGCCATAGGGGCCCCAGCTTTCAGCACCCCTGGCGGGCCCTGGAGGGAGGTACAAAGCTCCTGGAAGGCCCCGTGGGGCCCCCGGGGACAGTGCCAAGTGAGGCAAGGGCCAGGCAGTGCTTCAGGCTGGGCTTCCTCCGGGTGGTGCCAGAGGCCCTGGCTGAGCTCTGGCTTTTATCCGCTTGTCACCAGGCCGGTGACAGCAAGCTCGCAGCCGCCTTCCAACAACAGCTTGGCGGCTGGGTGCCCCAGATCCCAGGGTTCCCGCAGGCCTGGCCCGGGCGAGTGTAGCCCCCATGCCTCCCGGCCTCCTTGGTCACCTGGGGATCCCAGCAATCTCCCGACAGCACAGCTAGGGGCGGGGGCAGGCTCGAGGTGAGAAGGCCAGAAAGTTACTCGCCCAAGGTCACGGGAGTGAGGCTGGCAGGAGACAGGAGTGGAGGAGGCCCGGCCGGGGTTCAGGCCCGGGTGGCCTGTGTTCAGATGAAGAGCCAAGGTCGGAGGGGAGGTGACCACAATAGGGTGGTCAGGGCCATGGGAATGAAGGCCCGCTGAGCCCAGCGGTGTCCAGGATCTCAGGCCCCTTGTGGGGCTCGGCCTGGGTCCTGCATGGCACCTGTGGAGGACACCCATTCCCTGGGCCACCGTCCAAAAGCACTGGCTCAGGCCAGGGAGGGCTCGAGGCTGTGGGTGAGGGGTCGGTCAACAACAGATGGGAAGCTGGGGTAGGGGCACAGGGGCTCCCACGGCAAGTTCACAGATGGCAGGGGCAGCCCAAACAGGAGGGGTCACAGGCCAAGTGACCTCCCAGGGGTCAGAGGTCAGAGATTGGGCACCTGGGGTGATGTGGCAAGGCTGTCTCTGAGGAAGGGGGCTCCTGGTAGAGGGCCTGGCTTGTGCAAAGGTCCCGGGGTAGGAGATTGATGTGGCCAGGACCATGAATAAGGATCTGTGGGGGCAGAGCCCAGGCTGTGCAGGGCCTGCAGACACAAGGTACTGTTAGTTTTTATGTGGAAGGCAATGAGGAGCCGTGGGCAGGTCGGACACTAGACTCGGGCATGGATTTTGTAACTCCACCCCATGGGACAGAGGATCAAGCGTCCAAGTCACACTTGTGGCGGAATCAGAAGTCAGGGTGAGTCGGGGGTGGTGGTGCATGCCTGTAATCCCAGCACTCAGGAGGCTGAGGCAGGAGGATCACTGCAAGTTCAAGACCAGCCTGGGCTACAAAGTGAGCTCAAGGCCAGCCTGAACTGCATAGTGAGACCCTGTCTCAAAAAAAAGGCAAAAAAAAAAGAAGTCAGGGCACCGTGTGAGTCCCTGAGAGATAGGGAAGGCAGGCAGGGTACCTGCAGGAGGGTCCTGTCCGCCCTGAGCTGCCAGGGCTTTCCCTTCTGTGGGGCTCACTGGGGGGGCGCTTGGAGGAGGGGGAACCAGGGTGCCCCACTACCAGCTCGGGGCGGGGCTGTTTCCATGGAAACCAAGAGCTCCCTGGGAAGGATGTGTCCTGAGGTTAGGGACTGAGGAGCAGCCTCCGCTTCCACGGCGGGGAGGCCTTTGAGGTCTGGTCCCGAGGCTCAGACTAAGCGGGCTACACATGGTGAGCCAGCTGCCCAGCGGCCAGTGTGACCTCAGAGTGTGACCTCAGGGTAGGCGAGCTGGAGGCTGCAGTGCCACGGCTGCCAGGGACCCGCAGAATACTTGGGACGGGGGGTGGCCCTGGGGTCCCGGGTGATGATGTCTCACGGTGGTGAAACCGAGGCCCAGAGTGGGTTGCTGAAGCCTCCCGGCAAGGCAGCGCCGTGACACGGGCAGACGGGCTGCGCAGGGCAGTCCCGGGGGACAGGCGCAAGTCCGGCCAGCCCTGCACCGACGCACTGGGGGGCGTCACCCACTCCAGATTTGAATGGATCAAAGTCGAGGTCCGGAGAGGCCACATCCCTTGCTCAAGGCCGCTGAGCTGGGGGGCGGGTGGGGCCCTCCTGGCCCCAACATGGCCTGCAGACTGGATACCCCACCCCGCCTAAGGCTCAGCACTGGTAGGAAGAGACCCTTCCAGTGTCCACTGGTGACCTTTATTAGCGGACATCGCGATGCTTGACAGGAGCCAGGCGCTAGAGGCCCATTTCCAGGCGGGAAACCCAGAGCCGGGCCCTGCGGCCCGCGAGCACAGCACCGGGAACAGAGCCAGCGCAGCCGAACGCGGGAGTCAGGTGGGAGGGCGTGGCCTCTGCCCCACGAAATACTCAGCCGGGCTCTGCGACCCGAGAGGGGCGGATTGGTGACGGCCCACTCACGAGCTGCCGGGCGACACTGGACGACAACTACGGGGCCACCCCATACCTCCCCTCGGGTCCCCAGCCTCGACGCGGTCCCGGCAGGGACAGGACTGCGCGGCGGATGCGTGCAAGGGGTCACGGTGCCAGGTCGCCCTTCTGGCCGGTCCACAGCTCCCGGAGCTCGACGTGGCAGCCCAGGTCCCGGAGGGCGGCCTTGGCCACGTCCTCGCAGTCCTGGTGGGCCGCCCGCGCCTGCGCGATGAGCGCCTCCGCGCCCAGGTCCAGGAGGGGCTTGGAGAAGGCCTGGCTCCTGGACACCAGGTTGCGGATGAGCATGCAGGCCTGTTTCTGTGGAGAGGGGAAGTGAGGCGGGGCAGGCGGGTCTCGGGCCGGGCTCCCCTCTGCCCGCGGGGCCTCGCAGCATGACGGCTGTGCACCGTAAGGCTGGGGTGCAGCTCAGCAGCAGGGCACTTGCCTGGCATGCATGAGACCCCGGGGTCCAGCCCTAGCCCCGGAAAAAGTAGAAAGGAGAAAACGCCAACTAAACAGAAGGAACCAGGGGACAGACAAGGGGACAGACGGCCCGCCCGGGCAGAGCACAGCGGGTCAGGAGATGGGAAGGGTGGAGGCCCTGCGGGCGGAGTGGGGGCGTGGCAGGGAAGGGCAGGGAAGGGCAGGGCTTCCCCGCTGGCCTCCCGATGCCCACCTGCACGCCGGCCTCCTGTGGGTGCGCCTTCATCGCCCGCAGGGCCGCCTGGGCGCCACCGCCCTCCATGATGAGCCGGCTGTTCTCCGGCTTGCGCAGCGCCAGCACGCACAGGGCCGCGCAGCTCTGCTCGCACACCTGCGGGCGGCACGGACGCTGGGGCGCGCCACCCGGACCCCACCCTCCGCGGGCTCCCAAGGGGCCTCCGTGAGCTCGTGGGGGACAGCACGGACAGCGCTGCAGGTGGTGAGTCCTGCGGGGCTTCCTGGGCTGCGGGGGACAATTCCGGGCACCCAGGGCCAGCACCTGGCAGCCCAGCTCCCCTCGCCCTGGCCCTGCCCTGGAAGCGGCCAGAGCCTCACGCGGGCCGAGCCCGGCCAGGCCCCACACTGCCCGCCCTGTGTGCCGCGTCGGTACCTGGGGGCTGGCCAGGTGCTGCGTCATGGCGGCCACGATAGCCTCTGACCCGCCGGCGCGGACGATGGCGTCCTTCACGTCGTCATTGCCCGCGATGGCCCGCAGGGCGCTCAGCACCTGCTTCACGAGGTCCTGCGAGGGGGCGAGGCCCGGTCACCCCGACACCAGCCCGTCCCGCCCTGTGCCTGGGGCAGCCCTCGCGCACGGATCTGGACCACGGTGCCAGCGGCAGCAGGGAGCCTTTCCCGCCAGCCTCGGCGGGCAGGGCACCCTGGCTGCCCCCGCCCAGAGGGACTCGCTGGGGCTGGGGCCCTGGCTGCGCCGACAGCTTCCCGTCCACGCCCTCCCCGCTCCTCTAGAAAGCGGGTGCGGAGAACAGCGAGCGGTGGCTGGCTGGGACCCAGGGGGACAGGAGCTTCGTGAGTCAGGAGCTTGGGGAACCAGCTCGGGTTTGCCCCCGCGAGGCGCAGGCCCCACCTGGTGGTCGTTGCAGCTGCCCAGCAGGGTCACCAGGACGTCGAGGCCCCCGAGGTCCACCACCTCCTGGCAGAACTCATTGCGCACGGCCAGGCGGGCCAGGGTGCTGCAGAGCTCGCCCAGGACGCCGGGGTGGTCGGAGAACGCTGCGGGAGAGGGGCGCAGTCAGTGCGGCCGCAGCGCCCCCTGCTGGCTGTTGCAGGCGCGGTGAGCCCCCCACCCTAACCCGGGCCCCGCTACAAATAAACTCGAGACCACTGATGACAGCGCCTAAAGCAAACCGGAATAGGCCACAGGCCAACGCGGGAGATTATTTTTCCCACTGTGCAGTGGGAACGACTTTTCCAGGTGCAACCAGTAGCTACAGTGGGACACACGGACTGAGCTGACGGGCACAGAGCACAGTGGCGCCCGCACACAGCTCACATCCAAGGTCGGTGACGTGCAAGGTGTCACCTGCCTGGGCTCTCTGGAAGTGCTGTGGTGCGTTCTGTGGCTGGGGCGGAGGATACTGACTGCCAGGGATGGAACCTAGGCCTCGCCCATGCTAGGAAGCATTTACCACTGAGCCAGCTGCGCCCCAGCCCTTTAAAAAAATGTTTCTAGATGGAGTCTCTCACTAAGCTGCCCTCAGCCTCCTGAGCAGCTGGAGCAGCGGGTGCGTCTCTGCGGATCGGCCTCTTCCAGTCAGCTGAAGGCCTGCAGAAGCAAGAGCACACCACCGCTTGTACACAACAATCTCAGCCGGCTGCACAGCTACTCAGGAGGCTGAGGCAGGAGAATCACAAATTGTAAGCCAGGATGGGCAATGTAGCAAGAACCTATTTCAAAATAAAACATTAGCATGGTGCACACCTGTAATCCCAGCTACTTAGGAGGCTGAGGCAGGAGGATGGCAAATTCAAAGTCAACCTGGGCAACTTATCTCAAAATAAAAAACTAAAAGAGGGCTAGGGGTGCAGCTCTGTGGTGGAGTGCTTGCCTAGCATGTGTAAGACCCTAGGTTCCATCCCCAACATGGCCAGAAAAAGAAAAAAGACTTCATATAAAAACACATATGCAGGGCTGGGGATTTAGATCAGCAGCACAGTGCCTGCCTGGCAAGCGCAAGGTTGTGGGTTCGATTCCCGGTACTGGAAAAAAAAAACAACAAAAGAAACACCCCAAATTGAAACACATACGCAGCCGGGCATGGTGGTGCATGCCTGTAATCTCAGCACTCGGGAGGCTGAGGCAGGAGGATCGTTGCGAGTTCGAGGACAGCTTGGGCTACAAAGTGAGCTCAAGGTCAGCCTGAACTGCATAGCGAGACCCTGTCTCAAAAAGACAAAAAAAGAAAAAACAACCACATAGGCTACCAGTCTGTGTCTCTGGGAAGGCTGACTAATTCAAGCTGCTATAAATACACAGGAAAGATACAAACTACTTAGAAAAGCAGCCTGACTTGCAGATGCTCAGGACTTGTTTTGATTCTCTCCAGAGGCATGGAGGGGAAACCGAGGCAGGCCAGCCTCCCAGCAGATGGGGCAGAATCCCACAGAGGCCTGGCCCCAGGGCAGAGCCAGGGGCAGGTGGGGACAGGAACTGGTTCTCTAGTGGGGCTCCGTCAGGCCTGTTTCAGGGGGTGGGGAGGGCAGGAGGCAGAAACCAGGGACTGCCTGTGATAGCTCTGCGGTCATCCTGGAGCCAGGCACACATATTGCACGAGGGTTTACGGCCAAGTACAAAGTGTACATTTTGTAGGGATGAGCATCTGTGCGTGCATGATACTAAGACCTGAACCCAGGGCCTTTGCACTGAACTACAGTCCATTTACTTTGAGACAAGGTGGCCGCAAATTGCCCAGGCTGGTCTTGAACTTGGGCTCTTCCTGCTTCAGCCTCCAGAGCACAGCATGACAGGTATATACCACCATTGCTGGCTCGTTTTGATTTCTCTGTGAGGCTGGGGATGGAACCCGTGGCCTTGTCCATGCTGGGCCAGCATTCTGTCCCTGAGCACCATTTCCAGGCCATCAGCAAGTGTAACCTCCACCTGGCCCCACCACAGCAGCTGCGAACAGATTCCCCTCCCCATCCAGTCAGTGCTGGCCTGGAGTCCCTCAGAGCCACAGGGCACATCAGACGCCTCCTGTCAGCCTGCCACGTGGGCAGGACCACGTCTTGGGAAACAGCCCTGGAGCTGGACACCTGACGCCGTGCCGAGCCCCGACTGTCTTTTCTGTGGTCCCGGGAGGGAACCCAGGCCTTGTCCTCGCTGAGCACAGGCCCCCCGGGCCGCGCCCGCCCACCCGCTCTCCCCTGGCCACGGTGGCCCCTGCCCCCATTTCACTGGCTCGGGCTGGGATTTAGCTCAGCGGTACAGTGCCTGCCTGGCAAGCGCGAGGTCATGACTTCGATTCCCGGTACCGGAAAAAAAACAATAAGTGAACAGTTTCACTGGCTCACGTGGCCGCGGCTCCCACCTTTGGCTGCGTCGATGAGGACCTGCAAGCCTCGGTTCTCCTGCACGATCATCTTGGCGTGGTCATGAGCGCGGCCGAAGGGCACGCGGATGTCATCATCGAAGGTCATGACTCGCAGGGCCCCGCAGGCCTCCCTGACCACGTCGGCGTGGCAGCCGTGCCGGGCGATGGCGCCGGTCAGCAGGGGCAGCGCACCAGCCTTCACCAGGGCCTGCCGGTTCCGCTCGTGCTTCAGGCAGGCGTGGCGCACGCAGCGGATCCCGGAGCAGGTCACATCGGCCTCGTCGGCGTTCTGGGCCAGCGTGGCCACCAGCAGCTGCACACCATCGGCGTCCAGGAGGTCGGGCTGGCCATCAGTGAGTACCGCCAGGGCACCAAGGGCCTGGCGCAGGAGGCCCCGGTCGCCCGAGGCTGCCAGCTTGCAGGCGGCCAGGATGGCAGGGTAGGCCCCCTTCTGGGCCGCCAGGAAGCGGCAGGCCCTGTGCTCGTGGCACTGCTCACAGAAGCGGGCCAGGTGGGCGGACACCTCCTGGCGGTGCGAGCCAGCCACGGCCTCCCGCAGGTCATCCAGGGCCTGGGAAAGGGGACAGTACTGAGCTGCACCCCCACCCCTTTTCTATTTTTTATTTTGAGATAGGGCCTCACCAGGTTGCCAAGTTGCCCAGGCTGGGCTCAAACTTGCAGTCCTCCTACCTCAGCCTCCTAAAGGGCTGGGGTTATGGACGTGCACAACTGCACGGGGTTCAATAGGTATCTTTGCCTCACGAGTGAAAGGCAGAAGGAACGGACAAGAGAGAGGCAGTTTTCAGAGACCTGTGCAGGCGGGGCTTGGCAGGACCCCCGCGGGGACGAAGCTTTATCTTTCTTGCCTGGGCCTCAGTCTGCCCAGCGCCAGCCTTGAGGGTGACTTTAAACAGGAGGGAAGCAGCTGACGCCGCCACCAAGCCCCACTCCGCCCCGCCCCTGCGTGCCGTCTCCCTGCACCCTCCTCCCTCTGGGAGGCCAGAGGAACCGCCGAACCCTCGGCCCGGGGCCCTAACTGGAGTCCGCCAGGCACAGGGCACCCGGTCTAGGCATGGCGGCCTTGCCAGCCTCCGACACACAGCTGGTTGCCAGTGCCGGCTGGCTGGCACCCTGGGAGGACGGGGGCCCTCGGGCCTGCGCGGCGAGGGGACCCCACGCGGTGACGAGGCCCCACTGCGGCCGCCTGCCCTACCTGCCCCACAGCGTGCACGGGCTCCAGGGCGCCTTCGGCAGCGGCCTTGGGCGCCACCTTCAGGACGGTGCTCAGATCCACGCCTGCAGGGAGACAGGGACACCGAAGACAGGCTCGCGCCGCCCTCTGGGCCGTCCTGGGAGTCCCACCCGTCCCCTGCTGGGTCACCCCACTCGGGGACGTCCACAGCCTTCCAGCTTTCAACCCCGTACCCCTGAGCCCAGTCCAGCCGACAGGGCACCGTGGCAGCGTGGCCGTGGTGAGCTGAGCTGCCCCCACACGCTGCCTCCCACAGGAGCCGAGGGCCCTCAGACGCCTGGCCCCACGGCCCTGCTGTCCAGGCGCCTCCCTGTGGACCACACGGGAAACGGCACTGGTCGCCAGCCATCTGCCCGGGTCTGCGGAGGCCGGGTCTCCGGACCCCCCTCACTGCGCCCCCCACAGCCACCCCTCCCACCGCCGGTGACACCCTTTGTGACCCCACGCCCAGGCTGAGCCGCGGAGGACAGAGAGGCACCTGCGCCAGGGGACGGGTGACGGCTGGGGAGAGCTGCCTGCAGGCTCCCGGGCCCTGGCTGGGGTGAGCGGCCGCCTGACCTTGCAGCTCAAACTGCTCCACTGCCTCCCTCAGGGCGTCCTCTGGCCCCATCTCGAACTCCTCCATGTTCTCTCGCACGGCTGCATCGAAGGTCTCCTGCGTGATGTGCCGGGAGGCCATCTGTGCCTGCAGCTGAGAAGGTGACCGGCGCCTCAGCAGGACACGCAGCGGCACCGGGCCCAGCTGGGAGGATGCGCCCCGCAGGGCCCCCCACAGCCTCGGAAACGCAAAGCTAGATCCCAGGAGGGGGGCGGCTTGCTGTGCTTGGGGCTTCCGAAGTGCCAAGAGGGCAGCGTGTGCAGACCCAGAAGCTAGGCAAGCACTCCCCACTGAGCCACACCCCTAGCCCGATCACTATGTTATCCAAGAAGCTGGGCGCGGAGGCGCACACCCGTCATCCCAGCACTCAGCAGGCTGAGGCAGGAGGATCACTGAGAGTTTGAGGCCAGCCTGGGGTACATAGTAAGTCAAGGCCAGCCTGAACTACACAGCAAGACATCGTCTCAAAAACACAAAACAAAACAAAACGAAAAGTATTTTACCCAAGAAAGTCCAATTGACAATACACTGTATGTCTTTGTAATAAAAAAAAAAAATTCAGTAGCACATACCCTGGGAGGCTGAAGCAGGAGGACTGCAAATTAAAGCAGAGACTGAGCAACTTAGTGACTTTATGAGACCCTGTCTCAAAACAAAAAATAACAAAGGGCCGGGGGATGGAGCTCAGCATGAAGGCCCTGGGCGCCATCTCCAGTGCTGCAGAACAGATGTGAGCAGGAAGCACCGCCCGACGCTTGCCTCTGCGCTCAGAGTGCGCACGCGCTGTGATGAGCGTGCGGCTGTGCGTGTGCGAGGACTTGGGGGGTGACCGACCCTACAGTGCGATAAGCACGCGGCGTGTGCCACAACGCCTATCTTAGACCCTTCCAAGAAACTCGCAAAATAACCGCATTTTAGAAAGAAAAAATACAGAGAAAAATGCATTTTCCCCACAGGACCAGCACGAGTTCTCCGTGCACCGCACAGGATCCGCGCACGCTGCGTGCACCAAACTCCCCGGCACACGCGAGGACGCCTGCGGCTTCCGGCTCACGCGGACCCTGCCGGGTGCTGCGCTCCAGAGCGGCCGCACGGGCCCGCACCTGCCTGTGCCTCGCTCCGCTGTCCGCACTCGGATGCCCGCTCGACTCCCCGCTGCTTCTCGAGTCCCAGCACTGCCCACCGCCATCCCCCCACCCACCATGTCCTCAGGGGTGCGGGCCGCGGAAGGAAGACCCGCACTGGCGGCACGGCTGCAGCTCCCAGCGTACGCTTTGCACGAGCGCCCCCCTGACGTGCTGTGAATCCGATCAGTGCTGAGTAAGCCGCTGCACTCAGGAGACTGCTCAACTCTTGGGTCCTTGTTTGGCAGATGGGCCGACTCCCTTTGGCCCCTCCAAGCCCCGGGGTGACCGAACTCAGGGGGCCTTTTGGCCTCGAGAGTGACTTCTGTGTCCGCTGGTAACAAAAACACTATTTGGTGTTTCGTTTTGCTTTACTTGGACAAGGTCTCACTATGCAGTTCAGACTGGCCTCAGACTCATGAGGATCCTCCTGCCTCAGCCTCCCTCCCAGATGCCACTACACCTGGCTGCAAAACACTCCCATATTGGAAAACTGTTCAGTCAAACCACCTTTGCTCGAGAACTGTCTACCTTCTAGCTGAGATGGACCTTAAGGGGAGTCCACGCTGCAAGAGAAAAGTTCGCTGGTGTTCAGGAGGAAAATGGTACTGGTCATGTTACTCTGGAACTATTTTGCTCTGTGTTCAGCAGCAGGGCTTCTGGGAGCTGACTGGAGAATGCACCTCTGTATTCATCAATCCCGGAGAATCCCCCGGGGGTGCAGTTAGGAGGTAGCCCGGCCAGAAGGGGGGGGCGGGGGGGCGGGGCCCGGGCCCAGAAGTGCAGCTGCAGCCTCCCTGGCTTCCCGCCGCAGTGCTGCAGCCCTTTCCTCTCCCAAGCCCTCCCACTGGCAGTTTGCACCTTGCAGCCCCGGCCCAGGACTGAAGCCTTGAGCCCAAATTACCCTCTCCTCCCCAAGCGGTGGGCGTCGGGTGTTTCATCCCAGCACGAGAAAGTGACTGAGACACGTGCAAACATCCGTACAGAACAAAACGTGCGTGACTTGTGTCACCTATCAAGGAAACCTCAGTGAGGGTGGCGGGAGGATCTAGGAACTCCTGCATCTGAACTGAAACATAAACATGAACTCAAGATGTACTGTTTTGTACGCAAACACAGCCCAATGTCCTAGTAATACTAAAATGCCAGAAGACGGCACAGGAGGGCCGGGCACCCGGACACCAGCTCTGGGTCCCTCAACATCATTTCCTGCACAGAGGCCCTGGGCCTCCTGGGAGAAAGGCCCCTCCTGGGTCTGAGCCTAACCTAACCCTCAGCATATGTGTAGTTTGGCCGGGCGTGGTGGCACACCCTCATCCCAGCACTTGGGAGGCTGAGGCAGGAGGATTGTGGAGAGTTCCAGGCCAGCCTGGGCTACGTAGTGAGTTCAGCCAGAACCTGTTTCGAAAACCAAACCAAATCAAAACAAACTAGTCCCACTTATACAGGAAGCTGAGGCAGGAGGATCACATGAGTCCAGGAGTTCCAGACCAGCCTGGACAACATAGAGAGGCCCCTGTCAACAAACCAAAACACCAACTTTTGAAAAAGTAATGGATATCAAAATCAAAATGTGTTCACACTACTAAAACAAACCCAGCAGATTTTTCTGAAAACTGGCCCTTCAAGAGTCTGGCACTAAGATAATTGTACCATTAATTTCTATTGGTTCATGGAAAGGAACAATTATTGCTTATATTGTTTGATCAATTTTGCATGCCTGTATCTGGTAATCCGAGCAACCACTTTGAAAATAACAATACACTGTAAGGGGCTGGGGATTTAGCTCAGCGGCACAGCGCCTGCCTGGCAAGTGCAAGGTTGCGAGTTTGATTCCCGGTACCAGAAAAAAAAAAAAGCACTATAAAAAGCATTGCTAATTTCCTATCATCTTGTTTTCAAATTTTGTACCATTTTTATTTGTTTCCCTCTTTAAAATAAAAACAATTTTAAAAAAAGAATCCAGCACTCTGGGGTCAGGAATTTAGCTCAGTGGCACCTGCCTGGCAAGCATGAGGTCCTGTGTTCAATTCCCCGTACCTGAAAAAAAAGAAAAGAAAAGAAAAGGAAAGAAAAGAAAAGAATGTAGCTCTAGGGGAAGGGGTGTAGCTTGGCCAGTATGTGCCAGGCCCTGGCTTACATTCTCAGCACCAAAAAGCACATTTTTTAATCCAGCCCGTCTCTATGAGGGGTGCTAGGTCATACAGGGAGGACGAGGAAAGGTTCTGCTTCCAATACCTGCTGATTGGCCAGCAGGCAGATCAAGAGGATAAAACCCAGGGCTGCAGGCCACTGGGGGAACCAAGGGGACTGTGACAAAGAAGTGGGCAGGAACCACATCCACAGCTAGATCTCACTTCATCCGAAGAGAAGCCTTAGTCAGGTGTGGTGGCACATGCCGATCGTTTCAACTACTCAGGAGGCTGAGGCAGGAGGGTCCAAAGTGTGAGCGCAGCCTGGATGACTTAGCAAAACCTTGTCTCACAATAAGGTGAACAGGACCGGAGATGCAGCTCAGTGCAGAGGCCTGGATCTGTCCTCAGTACCACAGAGGATAAAGGAGAGAAAGAAAACAACTGACAACATCTGATTCTGAACCAAGAACAAAATGCACCCTGGCTCAAAATAAAAATAAAAAAGGGCTGGGGATGCAGCTCAGTGCAGAGATCCCCAGTATGAAAAGCAAGACAAAAAAAAAAAAAAGAAAGAAAGAGAAAAAGAAAAGGAAGATGAAATAAAACAACCCGTAGCAAGAGTGTCATTAACACCGTGCATCTGCCACCCCCTTATAACAAAGGGTACCAAACCGCAGGCTCAGAGCCTAGCAGAGGTTAACAATTTTTAAAATTTTACTTGTTTTACTATATTTGCCTTGTTTTGTTTTGTTTACAGTCATACCAACTTTCCATTCTGGAACTGATTATTGTTTCCATTTAAAATACATCTCTAGGGCTGGGGATACAGCTCAGTGGCACAGTGCCTTGCTTGGCAAGTACAAGGTCCTGAGTTAATTTCCAGTACCAAAAAAAAAACGAAAAATCCCCTTTTGCGGCCAGGTCTGATGGTACACACCGGTCATCCCAGCACTCGGGAGGCTGAGGCAGGAGAATCATCAATGTGAGCTCAAGGCCAGCCTGGATTGTAGAGCAAAACTCTGTCTCAAAAAAAAAAAAAAAAACAAAAAATCTCCTTTTACTACTTGAAAGGCTGAGGCAGCACGGTGAAGCAGGAGGGAATTTAAGCCCAGCCTGGGCAACTTAGCAAGATCCTACCTCAACTGTTTTTTGTCTTTTTGAGACAGGATCTCGCTATGCAGTTCAGGCTGGCCTTGAACTCATGGTGGCTTTGAACTTGAGGCGATCCTCATGCCTCAGCCTCCTGAGGCTGGGAGTGCTGGGATTACAGGCATGCGCCACCATGCCCGGTGGAATCTGCCACACTGATCTGTGTATCTGTATACAGCTACTTTTGAGTGTGTCTCAGGTATATGATCTCGCCCCTCCTAATAACATCGGCATGTATTTTAAAAGGGTCTTGTCTTGTATACCACAGCACAAATCAATTTTTTTTCTTTTTTTAGCTAGGGTCTTACCAAGTCACTAAATTTCCCAGACTAGTCTTGAACTTGAATCCTCCGCCTCAGCCTCTCAGAGTGTTGCAATTATGTGTGTACCACCATGTTTGGCTACAAGTCAAACTTCACACAGGAAATTTACCACTGATACAATATTATTGCTATTACTACTATCATTATTATTGTTGGCAATGGAAAGGGAACCCAAAGCCCACGAAGTAGCCAAGTGTTCTACCACGGAGCTTTACCTCCGGCATATACTATTTTCTAATATGCAGTCAGTGATCTGCTTTCTTTTTTGTTTTTTCTAGTACTGGGAATTGAACTCACAACCTCGTGCTTGCCAGACAGGCGCTGTGCCGCTGAGCTAAATCCCCAGCCCCCCACTTTTCAATTGTACAAATACTGTCTTTAGGACCATTTGTTTTTTCCTCTTTTAACAATTTGGGTTTATTTTCTTTTTCTTTTCTTTTTTTTTGGTACTGGGAATCGAACTCAGGACCTCGCGCTTGCCAGGCAGGCGCTGTGCTGCTGAGCTATAACTCTGGTCCCTGGGTTTATTTTCTTCTCTTGTCCATTCTAGAATCACACATCATGAAGTCTGTGTGTGGACACGGGGCGGGGGACGTGTGCTACAATAGCGGTACAAGAACCTGGCAAAGGCTCCCGGGTAATTTTAGGCCATGTGGGAAATGGGCACTCTGGGCGATGGTCCGTCTGGGGGCGGTGACACAAGATGTGAACATTCCATCTGTGCCCTGGGGTGGCGGGCGCGGCCTGTGGGACTCAGATGCCTGGCCCTCCCTGACCCCTCAGGTCCGAGGCGGGGGTGACCTCCCGGCACCCTACGGTGCGCTGGGAAGAGGACTGCATAGAGGTGGCGCTTAACAAACACCAGGGGTTTGTGCCTCGCTCTGCGCCGAAGCGGTAGATTGGCCAGCATGTTTCCGGGGGGCACAGGCATCATACTTCCCACCTGCCAGCCCCAGAAGAGCAGGGAGCCCGGGAAGGGTTGCTAAGGATTTCCAGGGTCAAAGGCGAGGAGGGCAGCGATGCTGTTTCCAAGGGCTCCTCAGCGCTGGCGGGCAGGGCTCCGGACACACAGCACATCTCCCAGAGCCCACGGGGGTCCACTGCCAGCATGGGGCCTGGCCACACCCGTGCCACCTCCCCAGCCTCAGGGACCCCGTTCCCAGACTCAAGTCCTCCGCAGGGCTTTCCTAGCTGGCCACTCACAGTCCGTGCTCTCTGGCCCCGCAAAGCCCCCTCTGCCCGTGCGGAGCTCAACAAGCTGGGGTGTCTGGCTCTGACCACCCTGAGCCCAGCCCGCCAGCACACGTGGCCAAGCGGTGGCCGAACGCACAGATCTGAATGCAGCAGCAAGACAGTGCTTGGGGGTGGTCACGGGGACCCAGCCCAGGCCAAAGGCAGGGGAGGTGGCACTGTCAGGGCCTTGTCAGTCAGGAGGATGCTGCTGGCCTGAGCTGGGCGGAAGCAAAAGGGTTACTGAGGCCCCCAGCTGACAGCCAGTATCCCTGCTCACCTGCCCCACGCCTCACCTGCCACCCCTGCGCCTCTCGTCCCCCCACACAGCACCTGCGGGGCCTTGCCAACCCACGAGACCACTGTCACGTCGGGCACCTGCGCAGAACCCTGCAGTGGGTTCCGCCTCCCTCCAGCCTCCTTGCTAGCGCGCTGTCTTCTCATCTTTGCCCGCTGCCCAAAACACGAACTTCAAAACCGCTCTGATCCCAACTACTCGAAGCTGAGGCAGGAAGGACGGAAGCTCGAGGTCAGCCTGAGCAATTGAGCAAGACTTTGTCTCAAGAAAAAAATAAAATAAAAAAAGACAGACGTAGCTCAAGTCCGATCGCCAGTACAGCAAAACTACAAAGCAGACCCAGTCTGCTGAAAGCAGTTCCCGAGCTTACACACGATCACTCTTTTATTATTTGCAAAGCATCACCTGTGTCTACAGCGATTCGGTTCACTTATTTATCCGCCTGTCGGCTTTAGCCGCCTTGCTTCTATGGCGTAGGGCGGAGCCCCAGGAATGAATAAAATGAATGAAAGGAAGCAGACTCCAAGTAAACGAGGGATTTGGGCCCAAGGGGCTTCTGTTATTCTTTCCTTCTCCCAAACCAAGTCCCCGAGAACCGCGCCCCAGTCACCAGCCCTTCCCCACGGCGTCCACTCCCTACTCGGCGCGCGACGGGTATCCGTCGCCCCTGATTCTCACCCAGTCGTCGCAGCCACGTGGGGAAAGGGTGGGGCTCGCAGCTGTCACCCGCCGCGCTGCCTCTGGCCCCTTCCGGCCGCCGTACGCCGCGCAGGCGCAATGGGGCCGAGGCGCCTCCGCCCCTTTTAGCCAGGTAGATCTCTCCGGGAGTAACGAAAGGTGAGCGCAACTGCAGGTAAAGCCAAGAGGGCCACTAATGCGCACCAGCGAGTCGTCTCTGCTGCCTTTTTCGGGCCGCTCACCGTTGTTAATGGTCCCAGTGGGGGCAGTTTTGCGCCTTAGGGAGCGTCCCCTGAGAGGCAGCGGACAGCGCGCCTGCGCAAGAGGGCGAGGCCGCGGCGGTTTGCGTCTGCGCACAAGGGCTCGGCCGCGACCTGCGCCTGCGCGGCGCGGCGCTGCGGAGACCGTTGGCTCATTTACATATCCCCGCCCCGCGCGGCCGCGGCTGAGGAGCCTCGAGCGGCGG